ATCCTAATTATATTTTAGATTTTTTATATTTAAAATAAGATGTTTATCCTGTATTTGATTGTGTTTATCTGCAGTTAGTTACACGAATTCAGTTATGGGATGAAATCGGATAGGGATGAATGGGTTTAAGAGTTTTAAGAGTTTAAGAGTTTTTAAGAGTTTTAGCCAAATGCATTATAATATAGTATAGATATATATATACATATGTCTGTGTTAATATATAAAATAAAAATAATAATGATAAAATATTTTTATATAAAATATATAATATAAGAAATTATATATATATATATATATAAATATAATTATAGATATGTATATTAATATGTAAAATAAAAATAATAAAATATATTATATTTTGATTGATTTTGATATGGTTCAAGTTTAAATGAATTTCATCCCCTAATGGCACCCCTCTCAAAAAAACACACAAGTTCAAGTTACAGTTGATCAATTTCGTTGAAGTTCACAACTGATTTTTTATCTTAAATTCGTGTCAAAATAGAATTCGATCGAACCCGGTTGAAGAAGTTTAAGTGAACCTGGTTCTTTTCATAGGTGAAGAAGGAATAAAGCCATTCCATTTATACAAAAAGACTTCCAATTGGACGGCTATTTGGACTATAAATAGTCATGAAACAAACTGAAAGGACTTGCAAAGCATTCTCACAATTGTAAACTTCACTTCAAAAACATGGCAACTACAGCACAATGCTGCAAGACCTGTGGGAGAACCCTTGTTAAGATACGTGGGTCACAATATGAAATATGTCCTGTATGCCAGGCTATTAACCTTTTCAACACAAAGATCAAAGGCCGCATGCCATCTCGAATTCAACGATTTATGAGTGGTGTACAGGATGATGATCAAGGACAAGCTTATAGGACATCAGCCGTACCGCAGTTGTCTCGTTTGCTAAACAGCAGAATCCAACATCTAATTCCTCAGGTGCATGGGAAGAAGAGGGCTGTTCTATGTGGTGTGACCTATAATGGCCACAAAAAGAAACTTGAAGCCAGTGTTCGAAATGTTAGGAGTATGCAACAATTACTAGTGAACAAACTGGGCTTTCCAAATGCTTCCATCCTCATCCTTACAGGTGCTTTTCCTCTCTTTCTATGAGCAAAATTCTAGACATGAAAATTATAGTATACTAATTAACAGAAGATGATTTTGGAAACTCAAATGTGCAATTTGAGATGAATTATGACCGGTGTCCTTTTGTTGCAGAAGAGGAATCAGACCGCTCTAGGATTCCAACAAAACGTAACATACAAATGGCATTACGGTGGCTCGTCCAAGGTTGCCAATCTGGGGACTCATTGATGTTCTACTATGCAGGGCATGGATGCCAAGTGCCTGATGAAGATGGAGATGAGATTGATGGATATGATGAAGCATTATGCCCTCTTGACTATAAAGTGGTGGGAACAATACTAGATGATGAAATAAATGCCACCATTGTAGCACCACTGCCTCGTGGAGCAACACTTCATAGTTTTGTCGACACTTGCTTCAGCGGAACTGTCCTAGATCTACCTTTTCTTTGCAAGATCAACAAGTTAGTATCAATTATCTTATTCCCCCTTCATCTCCAAAAAATGGAACATTTTATTTTGTATGAACATTTTTGACATTTAGCTATATAATAGTAAAACACCTAATAATTAATCAATATGGTAAAGTAATAAGTTGCATTAGATTTTGGGATAGAAGAAGTGTCAACCTTAGAACTTAGAAGCACAAGTTTTGAACTGTTTAGTTGTTGCAGTTTCCAAAATAAGAAACTTCATGAGATTCACTTTCCAAGCAGGGATGGACTCTATATGTGGGAAGAACACCAACATTCAAATAAAGGAACTAATGGCGGAAAAGCATTTTGTATTAGTGCCTGTGCTGACGATCAGAACTCAGCAGATACATCGGTATGTACTCTTAAGTGTCTCCTTCCGAAAACAGTAACTCTGTGTGTGTGTGTGTGTGTGTGTATATATATATATATAAAGGAGTGCGTACTTGACTATTCTATGTATAGTTTTGCTTGCCCAAGTGGTATAATACTAGCTTTCTCTGGATAAACCTATAAGGCTGTTTTGATTTCGAAACCTACACAAGTACAACCTCTTATGTTGTTTGTCAAGACCTTATCAAATGTTATTTACAGATAATTCCACCTACGTTACATGGTTTCTTCTACTTCAATTCTTTGTATGAAAAGATTAAACAAATTAAAGGGAAAAAACAAAGTATACACTATAAAGATGTTGTACATTAGAAAGAAAGGAAAGAGAAACGCCAAGTTAATTTCAGAATAAGAATAAGAAATAAAGGGAGTGCGCCACCCAAGTTATGTTGGCATTCGAATTCCCCCTGTAATGTTTCTTCTGTGCTAGCTCTGAGTTACCTTTGAGTTGAAGGTTCCACTGGGTCATGGTGGTGAGTTTTTAAATTCTAGCTACTGTTACAACACAAAACTTTCTGTGTGTGTGAGTGTGTGTGATAGTTTCTTGACAAGCGGTTCATGGTTCAAACTTACAGCTAAAAAGAGATTGAAAATATATTCTCTTTATAAAGATTATCACTGTGAATTACAGGATAAACTTCTCAAAATTGTTTAAATTTACTGAGCATTATATACATTAATGCTTGTGCAGGCTTTCACAGGCAATCCTATAGGTGCATTTACCTTTAGCTTCATCCAAGCAATTGAAAGCGAAAGCAAACTGACATATGGAAGGTTACTTAGCTCCATGCGCAAAAAAGTTCATCAAGCTCAACAAGTGGTAGGCCGATTCGTACCATTTGCATCTTCAATGTCGCAGGTATATATTTCTCACTTCATTCAAATACTTAAGGTTTTTCTAAGCTTGTACATGTGCTTACATTCAGAAGTTTGGTCTTTGTAGGAGCCTCAGTTATCCTCATCCACGAGATTCGAGATTTATTCTGAGCCTGTAATATTATGTCCTAGATAAAACATCTAGCCGGTGTTAACCCGAATAAACCATACAAAAATTTAGCAAAAACTTGTGGCATTAAGGCCTAAGCTAGCTAGGGTCTGCTAGAATGATTGGGACTTCTTTTAGATACTCTAGATCTAATGAGTTTCAGTCTTGTACTTATCTATTACCTAAGACATTATACATGAAATAGTCCATTGCATGAGGAGTGGTCTTGGATGGCATGGGTTTCAAATATGCCCATTATCGATATTGTATGGGCTGTTTTGAAGAATTTCCTAAGCCAATGGATACTGTATGCATGGTTGGTTGGATTCTTGAATAAAAGTTTGTTTCTATGCAGGCCTTATTGTATTATTCTTTCTTTCTGGGTTGTGCATGTTGGGTTTAGATCACACGATACTGAACGATAAAGTTCCAAATTTGAAGCAAAAACAATGGCAAATGTATCTTTCCCATCAACTGATGCAGAACCAAACTTGGATCGGAAAAACAAGATGAATAACGTAATACATAGTGAACAATCAGAAAAGCACGCATACAAGTACTTGAATCACAAAATTTATATAAAAAACGAGCATTTTATTCTTTTTAACTTGACACCGGTATCATTATTAATTTATTTTTACATTTTTTTTAATCATCGCAATTGTTTACACGAAACATTAGAAGCTATTTACTCATAAGGTGAAACAACACTTTGGTGTTTCACATCACATTTTACGTCATTTTTTGTTTCTTTTCACATTGTGAAACAATCGTACATTGTTTCAAATTAGCAATATTTTGTTGTTTCATAGTATGAAACAGTACTTTAGTGTTTCACATCACATTTCACGTCAACTTTTGTTTTTGTTTTATTTTCAAATTGTGAAACAACAACAGGGAAGGACCCAAAGAATAATTCAAGCGTGACACCATTTTGTCTATAAGAAACAAATATAGAGATATTTTTCATAAAATTGTTTTTCATATGTGAGATCTTGTGGTCAAGTCTTTTATTGCAAATTATTTTCAGAAACATAATAAATATTAAATTAAAAAGCTAAAGCCTAAGAAAATGACACTAACAAGATTCGAACTCGGGTCTAAGGTGAAAGAAAATTAATGCAAACCAGCTCTACTAAGGAAAATTTGTATCCTTATTGTTGTTTCAAAGTATATACAGTGGCACAAAACAAATTGATATAGTCCTCATTTGGGGTGCTTATGGTTGGATTGATCAGATTGAAGTCATTTGAATAACTCAACCTTATGTTTGCGGTTTGAAAATCTAAACCTAACACAAATTGTACAAGTTTGTTGGGTTAATCGGGTTGGTCGGATAATTGATATTTTGATACATTAAAATATTCAACCTTGAATATATTGTTTTCTCTACTCATAATTTTTTTTTCATCATCAACATTTGGTACAACTTATACATACTCTTTAATTCACATTCAACAACTTCTCTCAATTTGCATGTATATATTCATAGTTACTAAACATAATATAATTATATATAGATGGAGAAGAAATTGAATATATATATATATATATATATATATGAAGAGGGTACGTGATAGTGTAATTATCCAATGTACATATTTGTAACGACTAACTTCCAGCTCCAAAATTTGTCCAACTTCACACCCGGAGAGTTTTCGTCACGATCGGGAATTTCTTTTTCATGGTTGAGGAGTGTTGAAATTTCATTCCTTGATCCTTTTTTGCTTATTTTCATGCCCAAGCATAACTACACATAAAAATACTTAATAAACCTATTCTAGGGATGAAAACACACATAAAACTTCAGATTTTACTTATGGAAAAATCTGGGTGTTACATATATTAATAGGGGGCTTAATAATGATATTAAATCCAAAAAATTAAAGGATCAGTTTGGGTTGGGTTCAAATTATTGTAACCAAATATTAACTCACTACCTACGGTTTGAAGATTTTACAACTCTATTAGACATTGGGCTGCTTCGAGTTGAGCTACTCCACGTTGGGTTGGGTTAGGTTGGCCAGGTTGGTTAGGTTTTTTAGCATCCCTAGTCTTTATTGTAGTTTCAAAATATATATATGATGGTACACAACACATTCGTATGGTGGCATTTTTCACGAACATATATTTTTTACACTACGGCGGTGGAATGAAAAGGTGGCACGTGCCACCCCAAAAACTGCTTGGGTCCATCCCTGAAACATCGTTTCACCTTGTGAAACGACACTACAAGTCTACATATATTTCACATTGTGAAACGATACTTATTGTTTCATATTAGTTATGCTATTTGTTGTTTCACAATATGAAAGAATAGTTAGTGTTTCACATCATATTTCACATCAACTTTGTTTTATTTTCACATTGTGAAACAACATTGAATTTGTTTTCACTAGATTTGTCATTCTATGTGATGTTTTTATATATTTTAAAATAATCAAATATATTTTATAAAAATGTATGTTATTTTATACAATTACCATTAAATGATGTATATATGTGAGAAAATGAAGGTGGAAATTTTTTGATTATTAAATTATAATACAATATCATAATTAAATATAAAAGATTATATTTAATTATAAAAGATTATTAAAACCTTTCCCCCAAAACCCTTCCCCCTCTTTTTTTGCCTAAGAGGGGTTTATATGTTGCTTAAGGCTTAGGCAACAAACCCGTGTTGCCTAAGTAGTGTTGCCTTCTCAATGTTGCATAAGAATCAAGGCAACATATGCAAACAGAATATGTTGCCTAAGCAGACTTCTTAGCCAACACACAAAAGGTTATGTTGCCTAAGCAAAAAACATATGTTGCGTGAGTTATCAGCTTAGACAACATACTCTATCTTTATATGTTGCCTTACATATCAACTTAGACAACATACTCTATCTGAATATGTTGCTTAAAATATCAACTTAGACAACATACTCTATTTAGATATGTTGCCTTTGAACTGTAATTAACATAATATAAAATTTCTTTTAGGCAACATTTATATTGTTTAATTGTTGCCTAAGATTTTTGTGTACCATGGTGTAGTTTTTTCTTGCACACTTTCTACAAATGAATCTCAAACAAGCAAACAAACAACCAAATGTTTTATATAAACAACTTTTATAACCAAACAAAACTAATTAAGTTCAATAATTGAAAGATAAAAATTTTCCTAAATAAGTCTAAAAGTAGACAACAAGTTCAATAACACAAAATTAAAAACTTAACCTAAAGCGTTGTCTCTCTTAATCGCCTTTCCGGTGATAATTCCTCGTCTTGCCTTCTTTGTAATCGGTTCTTCCGTCGGTTCCACTTGGATGCGGCGACAATTGATACGTATATCTAGAGCAAGTGGCCAATTAGTAGGTGTGCTCGTCTCTGATGACGCCGGTGTAGTTGGTGAGTCCAAAGACGGAAGGTACAATTGTCGTTGGACGGAAGGTATCGCCTCTAATGAGATCTCTACCAAATCACCCTCTAGGCATGCCGTAATCCACCCCAAGACCGACGCCTTCGCTAAATTAAATGCTTAAGTTCTTTCTGGAGGCATATCTGTTTTCGTTTCTGTTTCCTAAAGGGTATTTAACTAAGAAGCAGAAACATAAAGAAAAACAGATTTGATAACACAAGGAGTAAGGCAGTTACCAAGCAAATTTGATAACATGAGTGAAAGAAACAGCAACTTTAGAGAATGAAACAAAGCAAAAATGTGACTTACATAGTGAAAGAAACAGCAATGAAGATCTAAGTTGAAAATACCCCCCTGGTTGTCCAAATATATAAACCCATATGAGTTTGTGACTCACATTCACTTTAATGCCAATAGTATAAACTACAAACCATAATATATTTGTATCAAAAGCTTCGATACCAACTCAGACAAACACAAACTTCAATTAAGTTGAATTATTTATCAGGAAACAATCACCCTTTTCTTTTACAATATTGATGCAGCTGATTTTTTTATATTTGTAATACTTTAGTTTACCTTTGCAATTTTCAGCAAATTTTATGTCAATCAACTCCAATCTAAAGTGCTTTAAAAAAACAAAAAAAAACAGAAACTCATGAACAGACTAATGAAACAAAACACTTGTTTCTATATGCATCAAGTGACAACTAATCACAGTTTGGGAAGCAAGAGTACCTGTTTCAATTATGTATTATGGTTTGGGAAGCCAAGAGCACCTAACAAAGACAACAAAGAAAGAAAGCAGAAATTAAATATATAGTATAATATCACCAACAACGAAACAAAGACAACAAAGAAAGAAAACAGAAATTAAATATCACCAACAACAACTAAAATCTATAAGTGCAGGTTAATAATCTGTTGGGAGTAGGTTCCCTAACAAAGATTGCAAGCAACATGTTCTCATCCTATGGAGAAGACGATGATACTTGGAAAAAAAAAAGTGAAACCACTAAGAACAATACCTGGAGGGAATACGATGATACCTGGAGGGAATACGATGATACCTGGAGAATGGAGAAGAAATCAATAATTTATGGAGAGGAAAAATAATTTGGGCAAGTGTTTTGAGGGAAAAAAAAGTGAGATAAAAAATTTTAGAGGGAAAGAGTTTTGTGGGAAAAAAGAGGGGGAAGGGTTTTGGGGGAAAGGTTTTTGGGGGGAAAAAGAGGGGGAAGGGTTTTGGGGGAAAGGTTTTTACCTTTTTCAACTTTTCTGGAACACGCCTAATTAACATGGTTTCTTATTAATATATGATTTAAAGCATATTTAAATAGAAATAAATCCTAGAGGAGTATAAGTTAGATATAGAAGCAATTATATATAAAAAGCCAAGGTATCTTTATTAGAAAAAGCTTTGTACATATTTCTTTGTTTGAATATTGATAATAAATACAAATAGTACAATAAATATTTATTAGATTAACTCAAATTTAAAATCCGTACGGATTGGTCGGGTTGGTTGGGTTGATACTTTGACATATAATCAATAGGTCTTCAAATCGTTCATTTGAAAAAATTGAAACCCTTCTTATTGGATGATCATGAGATTAAAATATTCTTTTAACTTTGAATATGTTATTTATCTACTCATAATTTCTTTTTCATCGTCAACTATTTGATACAACTTATCCATATTTCTTACGTATATCACATTCAGTTAATTTTCGCAATTTACATMTATATGTTCACAGTTACTGAACATATATATAAATGAGTTATATAAAGATATTAACCCAATATCAACCCAATACTTATGGTTTGACAATTTTACAACTCGATTAGACATCCAAGAAATAAAAGGATATCGGGTTCATCGGGTTGGGTTGGGTTCAAATAATAGTAACCCAATATCAACACAATACCTACGGTTTGACAATTTTACAACTCGATTAGACATCGGGTTGCTTCGGGTTGGGTTATTTGGCGTTAGGTTGATCGGGTTGGTCGGGTTTTTGAGCACCCCTAGTAGTGGATTAGTGATGGCCATTTCTGCCATAGATTCCAATTAGTAATTTAATTAGCAAATTTTAATTGAAGTATGAATAAACCAGC